TAATTAGATAAAAGTCAAATAGTTATATAAAAAAGAGTTAAAATGATCAAATTTATATTTTAGAAACAACTTACAATACTAAAGAACAAACAAAATTTAATCTAAGTTTTTTCTAAAATACCTAATAAATTAAAGGTGTTTTGATATTTTAAAATTAGAAATGATAATGAGAGAAGAATAAGAATGAATGAGTTTGGAGAAAGGAAGGAGATTGATACATACCAATCTTCCTTTTTATATCCAATTTCAAAAATCAAGTATTATCAATACTCTTTTTTTATCAAAATCAAAATAAATTTGAACAACAACCAAGATAACATATTCATTTGCCATCCTATTCAATCAAGAGTTTATACGCTTTTCTAACTCAACAAGATTTTACTTCTTATACAACTTGTTCAATGATCTTCTATCTTCTAAGAGAAAAATTATAAAAATATTCATTAGTGATGAAAAATGAGAAGCAAATAAATGCATAATTTTTCTTATTTGGAATGAGTTTTTAATGTTCTTCGGTTAACGAGTAGACCGGCCTTGAATATCCCCAAGTAGTTTATGTTCAGCTACTTTTGTGTCTTATATGTGAGAATCAAGGAAGGATTAAAATTTAGAACGCCTAACTGAAGAAATATCGTATGCATAGTTGTTTCTCATACTATATATATTTTCATGTCCCATCAAGTTATGGTAGAACTATTACTCCACTAATTTTAATAATAAGTTAAAACTTTTACATTCCTCGTATCGTTGTTTCATTAAAAGGTTTAGGTACGTTCCTTAAATTTTAGCCGAAAAGCCACCCAACTCCGTCCTTTAAAAAAGATTGTTTTAGAAAACGGTTGAGAATTTAATAAATTCTTAAGTGATTACGTATATAATAACAATTTTAATCCTTTATTTATTAGTGACCTATTATACTTTGCTTTTAAGGTGCTGAATGCATTTTAGAGGGGCCCAATTGCCAAATTCAGCCTCCATGTGGAAGAACCAACACATGAGATTTCAGAACCATGAACAAAATTAGGAAATGGTAATAAATTTACACACAATGAAGGAGCAAACATATAGGATTATTATTATTGGAAACCTACTCTTAATTTTAATACACACCATTATTAGGTGGTATTTATTGAAAACTATGCTTTTTTTATATACTCTTACTAATCTAACAATGTTTATGATTTTCTATCAATTTCAGCCAATAGTAAAAACTTGTGTTCAAAACAGTATCTTAAAGAGTGGTTTGATAGCAGTCTTCATTACACAACAAAAGCAAACAGCTAGTTATATATACACCATCATTCCCAGAGTGAGAGTAGCATAATTAACATGATAATATTACCCAATAAGTTGAAATACAAGAAAATAGTACATGCAAAAGATCTAAAACGTGAGCAAAATTTCTGCTCTTTTGTTTTTCTCTTCCCATTTTTCCATAATTAGCTGAGCAGATGGACAAGCACTTATAAACAGACCTTAACTCCTTTGTATGGTTATCAGCATTTCAACTTACAGTTAAATAACCATCCAAAACATACATAAACTTTTGTGGCAGACCTAAACAACATGAACCCTTCTTGCACAAGGGGAGAATGTACATCATTTCTTCAGAAACTTCTGCGAGAAAATCTTCTTGGAATACGGGCTGTTTCGAGAAATGGCTTTGTGGGATTCAATTGCTTCAACTAGTACATTGTGCAGACGGCCCTAGTTTACAAGGAAAAGGCAAAGAGAGAAAAAGAAACAAACATTTCCACTAGATCAGTATCAAAACTCAGTCATGAAAAGAACCTCTTAAACAGCTAAAATATGAGTATAGAAGTTATATGCACTATTTACTGATCTAAAACAGTAGGAGTACAACATATTTGTAGATGGTATAGATTTTGGCTAGTGATAAATTATGACAGGATTTTGCACTTACTATTTTCTGTCATTGGCTTTTCAATGAGGATTGAATGAAAATAAGGTGGCCATGTTACAAACCTCAGAATTTCGAAGAGCTGATTGAACAACATAGTTTGCATGTGGATCTTGAAGCAAGTGTTCGAAGTGAGGAGTGGACAGCAGCTCCAGAATGACTCTTGATCGATTTTCATCATTGAATACAGCCAGACATTTTTCAACTACGTGACTACCAAACTTCTGCCTTGACAGGTGCACATAGTTACCTTCAAATTGCGACCTTATAAATGCGGTGGCAGATGGAATCTTTAAGTCCAAGATAAACTGAACAACATAATTTCTGCAGCAAGCAAAAAGAACAGAGTGATGAAAGGGTAGAAGAAAGAATTCATAATCAATAGAGAAAAAGGCTCACTGTTGTTTGAGTGCTTTGTACTACCATCTGATTTAACAAATTCCTGAGATGTTAAAACTGATAGCAACATATGAATTTCAGTTTATAACAATCTCCTTTCCTAGTGTACTATTCATTTTTTCAGTGGTACATATATCTTCACCAGCGTAGCACTAGGAATGGTCATATGTAAAAGAATAAAGTGAAGAACAACTGGTACTGTCTGACCGCCACATTTTCCAGTCCTCATTAGTCTTGGCCTCATGAAAATGGGTTAGAACTTTTTATACAAATTGTCAATGACACTTGACTACAACTAAGTTCTCACTTTGGGAAGAAAAAAAGGCATGTTTATGGGATGGAAAGTGGATATTCTAACAAGAAGAAGATGAACCAGCCAAAGGAATTTCGTGCTTTGTAAACTATAATGCTTCCAATAGTTACCCGTATTGATCTTGAGCTAGCAGAAGTGCATTAGCGCATATTTCTTCAATCAGTTTTTCTCGGTACTCCCCGCTGGAATGGCCAATGCATCTTTGCAGAACACAACATCCATGTTGTTGAGTTGCAATGTCAACACAATACTTTGCAGCAGCAACAAATATAAACTGCAGAATGCAAAATAACAGGGTAAATGTTCAACTTATGCAACCAGATATCAATTTGCAAATGTATTATGCATTTCATCACACTTTAGTGATGGCTCAAGTCAAGAACAAAACACAAATTATCAACACCGAAATAACAGCATTTCAATCATAGTTCACAAGCCCTTTATCCCAGAATCCAGATTATTACAAGCTCGTTTCTTTTGATCCTATTTCAATATTGCTCTACTTTAACAACCGTGTAGATATTAATTTCACAATCGAAGCAAATGTCCTTAAACCTCTAGTTTTCTAATTTTCAAAAATTGTGTAATAGGATTTTCTCTAGGCGTTAAATTCAAAACCCTTCACAAGCAATTTTCATCTGACCAAAGCACTAGTCGTTAGAGTGGTGTTTGTTCATCATGGATCAGTACAATTTTTTTTCTTTGAAACATAATTGGAATCTCACAGCAACACATGACATTTATATAAATTTATATTCATTATTAGTCTTGAAGATGAAACTTTTAGCACATTTAAGAAGCCTAGTCCACGATACAAAAAAGTTCAAACATTTATATGTGCCATTTTTCAAAGTACCATTATTGTTACCATATTAAAAAAGGTTGTAAGTTAAGGACGAAAAAATTTCAGAATCGAATGAATGTGTAAGAAAACAATGAAATTCTATTTCACATGAGATGATCAATTATCACGTACTAAAAACAGAAACAAGAGTGAGATAAGCACACAGATTTCTGTTCATTGATAACATCATGCACAATAATATTATCCAATATGTATACTTTATTGAGAAAGATAGAAATCGTGCCTTGTTATCTTCATTGCTCAAACACAGCAAACAGCGCTGAACCACATGGTTTCCATTTAGATCTTTAATGAGAGCCAAAAATCCTGGTTCAATTGCTGAAACAGCTAATGAAATTTGCTGCCTAGTTTTGAGAGACTCGATAAGCTTCTGTACCACACGAGTGCTGATAAAAGAAAAGGCAAAGAAGTGAAGTCAAATGCAATATAACACAACCATATAATATTTAAGTAGTTGCACAAGTTGTGCCATTACCCATGAGTGTTTAAAGAGATTCTGACAAGCTGACCAGGTTCTTCAGTAAGGATTAGAAGGATTTGCATCCTCTGTTCTTCATTGCATACATCTAATAACTTCTGCATAAGGTAATTTCCAAAAGGATTCACCATAAGTTCCACTACATGATCAATGATCTCGTTAAATATCACTTGAACATCATCCCGTGTACCCTCATCAAACATTTTTTGCAAGAACCTACAGCCATGCTGATCTTTAGCCATTAAATATATATAACCTTG